GAGGCGGCTATTGCTTGGAGGGAGAGTCCCCCTCCCTACGACCACGTGTCAGGGCGGAAAATGGCCGCGGACCACGTGTCAGGGCGGAAAATGGCCGCGGACCACGTGTCAGGGGCGGAAAATGGCCACGGACCACGATCACGGGAGGGAAAATGGACGCGTATCCTGTTCATACCCCGAGGCGGAGTTCGCAAACCGAAGCAAAATTTTACAGCCAGAGCTGGTCATAACCCGAAAAGTTCGTTAACAGAAGCGTTCGTAACCCGAGGTTCCACTGTATATATAAAAAGTCTCCTATGAGTTGAGCTTGACGTCTGGTGACTTCATGAAGTTTTCTTGGCAAAAGAACGGAAGTGTCTCTCACTGCCATTTTCCGGGCTGTTTTTCTGACTTACAGCCCTGAGCTTTCTTGATCTCCCATGGCAGCAAAACATGCTTTCCTGTTTGCATATCCTGGAGGGCCCTCCACCCTCCCCAGAAAAATCAGCCATTCCTCACCTGTTGGGCCCACTTCTCAGTCTCCTGCTGCTCCTGCAGGTACTCCTCGGCCAATGCCACTGCTCGATCGCACGTCTCTGGGCCACGCTCCCTAATCCAGTCTTGCATTTCCTGTGGAAGGATGACAAGGAACTGCTCCAAGATGAGCAGATCCAGGATTTGCTCCTTGCTCTGGCTTTCAGGCTTTAGCCAGTGGTGGCAAAGCTCCTGCAGTTGCTGGCATGCCATCCGGGGCCCCTCGGCATCCCGGTAGCAGAAATGCCTAAAACGCTGGCGGTGCGCCTCCATGGCGAGGTAGTCATCCAGCCTCAGAATAGCCACCTTCACCTTCCCATAATCAGCTTTGTCTTTTGGATCCAGGCTGAAATAGGCCTGCTGAGCTTGTCCGCTAAGGACCGGCACAAGGCGAGTCACCCACTCTTCCCGTGGCCACTGGGAAGCATCAGCGACACGCTCAAAGGTGGCCAGGTAGGCCTCGGTGCTGCCCCCTTGAGTCAAAGGAGGCAACTGCAGGCTGTCCCAGACCGGAGTGGTGAAGGGAGCCGGCATCACCTCTAACACCCTTTGCCACTGGCACTCCCAGCTCTGCGCTGGCTCCTCCGCCAGCTCCTGCTTCACCCTAGACGCCACTCTTGTGAAATCCTCACTGGCTGCAGACGGAATGGTGGCAGGGCATTTTCCCTCTCCTTCTTTTGCACTGCCACCTGCTTGGCAGGGAGCTTCCATTTTCACTGGGACCTGCAATGGGCATCTCACATCCTCTATCTCTTTTGAAGGAGCAGCCATGTTGTTTGTGTGTTGCTGTGCAGCCATTTTGTGACCCAAGGAGCTGCCAAGGGAGCAGCTGTCTCTCTGCTGCAGCCTCTCTCAAAGCACTCTGGAGCCAGACCTCAGCAGGGGCTAGTGAAATCTGTAGTAAGGCAGGCAGCGTGGGCATACTCCTGTCAGAAAAATGGAAGACTGACAGTTTTCCTAAAGGCAGTCTTTTAAAGTAACGTTATTTTCAGTTTATGCCACCAAATTTCCTTGTTTACCGTTGTTTTTTTTTAAAGTTTGCATTATAGATTTTATGTAATGCTTTGCCTTCAACATTCTGTTCATAACTTCTTTTTTATTTTTAAATGTCACTAGATGGTATTTGGTAAGATTTATTCCCAATCATCTCTAAGGTAGAATTTTTCAGCCGCCATCCCTATCATGTTGGTTAGAAAAGACTTTGCTGGGGGATAACCATAAACACTGACAAATCTATATAGCCTTTTAATTATTCTCAGTATGGTAACCATCCATCTAAGTTATTTATCAGATACAATCCCTTAGGTGCTTTGGCTACATAGTAAGAACATTTAAATAAAACTACAGCTAGGTGGAAGAATGCTTTTATCTGTTATCTTTTTAGCAGCACAAAGACACAAATGAGGCTTAAAACTGGGGCAAAACATGCAAAAGAATGAGCTGTGAATGAGAGAGGAGAACAAACAGTATTATTGTAAACAGGTCTCATTCTTAAAAATGCAAATCAAGATCTAGGGCACCAGGGAAAATGCTGCTGGTTTTCTATTCGCAGGGGAGCAGTCTCTTCTATTACCTTATTCTGCTCCCTATTTATTCCTTTTCATCTTTTTTTTTTTGATCAACAATCCATGTAGAGGTTATTGGTAAAGAATGAGGTCAGTTCCCTGCCCCAAGGCTCTTACAATCTAAAAATAGAAAGGAGGGAAAGCACTAGGAAAAGAAACAGAACAAGAGAACACAAGAAATAATATAAAGTCATTTCAAATGCATTTAACTGATCATAGTTACAAGAGACAGGGGATTAGGGCCCTGTCCCAAAGCTTTTGAGAAAGAGCTGAAGAAAGTAAGTATTCTGGCATGCAGATCCAGTTACGAGGCAGAAGGGGTGAAAGCATCTGAAACAGCTGAGAGGAATAACACAAGACAAGAACATCTTGAGGGAGATGAAAGGAGTAATCCTGACAACCGAAGATTACATTACTAAATAATAATAATAAACCACCACACCCTCTTTTCCATGCAGCACTGAACAAATGAAGGAAAGGGCTGCCACACAATTTTCAGGGCAACAAAATCCACGAGGAGAGCTGAAAAAATAAATTCGGGGCTCGTGAAGGTATCAGTAGGTTATCACGACCAACTGGAATTGCCAGCTACCATTAGCCCCAGGCTGGCCAACGAAGCGGGCCAAGATCCCTGTCCCGCATCTCCCTCTGCTGCGGCCGCGACCCTTTCAGCAGGCAGTCATGGGAGGAGAGGGGTTAAATAGTGAATACTCCCCCCGCCCCCCATATCAGTGGAAGGGCCCTGCTGGCTCACCTTTCGCTTTCATGCAGCCTGCCTCGCGCTTCCCTCCCGCCGCCGAGCGCAGCGGAAGAACGGACTGCACCACTTCAAGGACATGAATGGGGAAGCGCACCCTTTCTAATGAGCAAGCCCGCCAGCCTCCCTGCAAGCAGAAGACTAACCCGGCAAGGAGAGGAAGCGAGGGAGAACCCTTTATTTCCGGCCGGGGCGATGCTCGGCTCGCAAGGAGCTTCTTTGGGCTGATTTTCAAAGGAAATGCAACCCAGCATCTCCGCCTGCCTGCTCGCGGGGCACGGCTTTTTCGGCCGCCTCAACGCTAGCCTGAATCAGCCCAGGAAGACCGCAGTCTTCGCGCACGTCCTCCCAAGGGGTGGAAGGAAATGCGTGCATTGACCAGGACAAGGCAACTTCACGCGGGCCCGCTCTGCCCAAAAAAGGTGACCCTCCCGCGATCCAAAAAAGCCTCTCGAGCCCAGGGACCACGTGGCCGTTGCAGGGAGGCAGCGCAGGGCGCCTTCCTGCTTTCTCCAGCCCCCTTCGCCCTCGGCCATCGTCCCCCTTCCTCCCCGCCCGGAACTCACCGCTGCGCAGCCCCCCTCGAGGAAAAAAAAGGGGATCAGATGGAAGGCCACGTTCCATTTCTTTCCATCTTTGGACGGAACGGGAAAACGCGGTCGCATCTTGCATCCCCTCCTTTTGGACGGCGCTCGAGCCACTCTAGGAGCCTGGCTGTGGCGTTTATTTTTTTAACTCTTTCGGGGTCGCAATAGACCGTGTAAACCAGTGTTTTTCAAACCTTGGCCGCTTTAAGACGTGTGGACTTCAACTCCCAGAATTCC